CCGTTTTGTTCGTGACATCTCCTGGGACCCGTCTCATTGTGCAACCATACAATGAAACGACACATCTTTTAATTGAACAGGTATGCTGTACTATTTGCATCTTTCTTTTCATTATATGCATCTTCTTCTACCAGTTAGCTAATTGAACACAACAAACCTACTAGGTTTCTTTCATAACAGATTGCCAGTGGACATCATTGACTACAGCTCGAAGGAACGCCTTGGATACCTTCGGCGCAAGATTCCTCCCAGAATTTCACTGCTGGAATTGAAAACCAAAGTTCCATTAGGAGAAATGGAAACTGAGGTTACTTTCCTTACCTTCTTTTCTGCAACTGTAGATTGTTAAGCAAGTATATATGCAAATTATCAAGCATCCTCAGGTGGACCTTCCAACAAATAAATGTTTTAGTTACTCACAAAAACTGGAATTGACAATTTCCTAATTCAATCCGTGTGACAGATACTCTATCGATGCAAATTGAAGATACTTAAGTTCCATCTTGGTTCTGAGACATGCAAAACGTTTCCTGAAGACACTGAGTATTTCCAAATTACAACTACTTTTCTTTTTCCTTATTGTTAAGTAACAATTCATTGCTACCTACATCTCTAATCTACGTATACGTTTAGATTGTACTACGAATTGCAGGCTGAATGCGAATCAGGAAATCACACCGCAACAATAGTTCTGAATCATCAACCTTCTCTTGCTCTAATCCGTATGCCACCGCTCGAGTTCCAAATGATGCCATATGACGAGAGAGTTGAGTTGCTCAAAACATTCTGCAATGTTCAGCTAATGGCAGAACTGTACATCGTGGGATCAGAAGATTCAGATGAACCACCACATCCGCATGTTTGCGATTTGGGATTCAAAAGCATTTTCAGCCATTGCGAGAACTTAAATTGCGCATCTGACGAACCCTTACGTTGCAGTCAACGAAGGTACATTCCTTCCTACTTTTGTTTTGCATTCAGTGGAACATTAGTGCTCGTGGGCACAACCATTTTTTGCGCACTAATAAATACCCACATGTCTGTTCTTATTGCAGCTCTTAGGACTAAGGAACGAATTGGGTTGTTGGCTGAGGAAGGATCAAAGTAAGGCAGGCCCAGAAGAACATGGATTGCAACATTATTAGTTAATTCGATATTTTGAGAATTGGAATAGTCCCTCTTTATTTCCATTCTGAACATAAACTGTTCTGGTACGTTGTGTATGTAGCTACCCTTTAAGCTCAACCATCCAAATAGTTCAGATCTAAACAATGTACTTGGCAATGCACGTTCGTATTTTATTCGTCTTAGTTATGCCCTTTCTGCAGTTCCTTTGTTTTACATGTGTTTGAGTGTTCTGTCTTCACTCTTGTGTCGTTACTGTTCTGTTATATTAGATCTCAAAATCATTACAGATATCAATAACCACCCCTGATTCGCTATCTACAGTGTACTATGTTCCTAATGTAACCTCCTGTAATTCGACTAAAATCGGTCATTCCCTTCTAGCCTCCAGTGTTAGTGTGTTTCCCCCGTTTGCTGTACTGTTGCCTCAGTTGAAAAGTAATAGATTCCCTTCACACCACTTGTCTTTTAGGCCTTTCTTCTACGACCATTTTTATTGTATTTTGAATCATTTTGGACCGCAGAAACACTGAACAGTTCGAGAGAAAGTTTATGTCTTTTGTTGTTTTATTCAACGTTTAGGAAGATCCCTGCTCTTATCTCACTTTTCATCCTCTCTCATCAACTTTACTCTTCTTCCGCTATTTCCTCACTAAAATCCTGAATCAGCACACTGTTCCTGTTCAACCTTCCTTCTGGTGTCATCCGGTTCGATCTCCGTCCCCAATTTCCTCACAAAAGAGACATGCTTCCGCAAAAGCTGCTTCGGGATTTGAATGGAACTGAAGGGCCAGAAGCTGCTCTCAAGATACGCCTCTTGCATGTTTGGGGTGATTGCACTTCAGAAAATCCATCCATTCTCTCACAGTTTTGCAGTCTTTGGACCGATTCCAAGGTAATATAGTATTTCCTTAAACGTTTTTTTTTTTGCAGTTACCAGTGCAAATTGTGCTCTTCGGTCATTTCTCTTGCTTCGCCTCCTCCCTGTTTAACAGGGAACCTTAATCCAGGCCATCGCGACACCACATTTAGGTCACCGATTTGGCCCATACCTGCAACTAGGGTGTGTCTACTTAGTTACTGGATTCCAGCTGGCAAAACCACAGCCACTGTGCCGCCCTTGCTCCCATAGATTTAGTTTGGTCCTTTCTCAGGGAACCATATTTGAGGATGTAACCATGTTGTCACCGGGTTTCTGTGCTGATTCATTTGAGTTTTTACACTTCAGTTCCTTGCACGGCTTACCTCGCTCAACAAACCAGCTCATAGGTTCACCTGGCAATTACTGTAATCTCATCACATATACTTTACTTGGTTTTTTGCACTAATGAATTGACGCTCTTGTAACACCTCTCCAATGTAGATGTTGTTGGCAGAGTTGTTTCTGTGAGCGGGTTATCCTGTTCGGCAACATCCACTGGTGCTATTATTAGGCGGAAACTGGTCATACAAAACGAAAGGTTTTCAATGCAATGCGATTGTGTACCTTTCCATTTGTATTTGATTAACCGTAATTCCAATCATCTCCGTCTAGCCTGCACTTGACTATTGCAGAAATAACCGTGTTAACATCACCATATGTGGCGATGTTGCTCGATCACTAGATGGAGAAGAACTAGCATACCTTAGCCGCATGGGATCTGTAATACTTGGTGTATGCAGTCTTCAAGTTACTGACGCCACACCAGGTTTACACTGCACCTTTATCCCTCACAGTTAATGCTATTGCTAATCCATTCTACGACGACTCACATCTCCTTTCCTACCTTTACCAAAGGCGGCATTTTTTTAACCAGCACCTCCGCTACACGGTTTGTTTTGGAGCCATCTTCTGCATTGGCAAATGTTTTGCGTGCTACGTAAGTCTCTTACAAGATGCCGCTTTTAGTAGTTTACTTTCCGTTTATCTCATATACTTTCGAAATTGTAGTGCTACTGGTGGTACAGATACGATCCGCTATTATCCTCCATGCTTTTCCACTTATTTTGAAGAGGAAATGTTTCGAGCTGACAGTACCAAGACAATTATGGACCTCATCCGCCTTTCCAGAAATCCAATGGTTGACGTGCGTTCTTTTGTCATAACTTTTACTGTCACAGCACTGTATCTTATTACTTCATGGCAGGTTTAAAGCATAATCTGCACTATTAATGTAGCCAGCCATTATTTTCATGCTTCAAAATTTATTCTGCCTCACCACTAGATGGATCTGTTTTACCAGTCCCTTTTGCCAGTAAACTAACAAATTTCTTGCCTGCTTAGCTACACTTTCTCACCAGTTTTGTTTACCTACAGGCTACCCAGTACTATTGTTTGGCGCAAGTCCTCTCCACTGAGGCTTCAAGATCATGGTTCTACTTAGGATGTGCCTTTTGCTTTAAGACAGCTAGGGAATTTCCTGGCACTGGTGATTTTTTTTGTGAAGAACATGGCCAACTAAAGGCTGAAGAAACCGAACATTGGTTAGTTTAAAATCCACCTTTTCCCCATCAGTCAAGTGGGCACGCCCAATTCACCCCTGAAATTTAATACATTTTTACAGCTACAAAATTCATTTGGCTGTCGGAGACACTACTGGTTCGGCGTGCTTCGTCGCACTTGGAAAGAACCGCTGAATCTTTGCTTGGAGTTACAGCAAACGAACTATTGTTGCAGCATCCCCACCGCCATGGCCATTTCCTCCGCCAATTGTGGCCATGAATGGCTGTTGGTTTTCGTTTTGTGTGCAACTCCCTAAACCTGGAAATCTGGCTCAGACTCCTCTGGAGTTTACTATACTTTCTGCATTCGACCGCAGCCAGCTCTAACAATAGACTAATGAAAACGTCAACGCTTGCGCAGAAAGTCATTGTGCTCGACCGTTGTCTTACCTATATTATGCCAGTATTTAGCAATATTTGCACTTCAACATCAACAGACTTATGTATCCGCGATGTACGTACAAACTATTCACATGCACAATGACTCCGCTCTTTCGCTTACAACTCTCCATTCCCACAATATAGTCTCCCCGCCGCAGAGCGCGGGCTTCTTTACTAGTAGATTATAATAACATAAAGGCTGCCCACAAGTAAAAAAGTGAGCTGTTCACATATATAAACACACTGATTAGGGGGCTTAATTGGTTTGTTAAGTCGAGTTAATGGACGGTTAGGTCGAGCAGCACTTGCAATTAAAATATGCTTTTAATTTCACTATTGAATCCCACGTGAATAGTGAGTGCATGCTGATGATCATCAAGTACGTAATTAGTTAATTAATTAATTAGGCTCCAAATCCATTTAAAAAAAACAGCGCGCATCCAACAAGTTCATAAGACGAATTAGACAAGGTACAATAACCATGCCGGCTAGTAGGCGTCATAAAAGTAAAATAGAAGTGACGACTATCAAATCACAAACTCAAAAACTTTCTGAATCCAAATCTACGCATTTGACAATCCCACGGCCACATCGATCGTCTTAGAGGAGCAACAACTATCAAAACTCGACATCCATTAAACTTCTGAATCGAAATCTACACCAACATTTGACAATTCCACCACCCACCCAGTGTTAGTTCAATTGGGTGAATGTTCAAAGTTGTCACTACTTCAGGTATTATGGGTTACATCAAAAGTAACCCTTACGTGATTGGAAAGTTAACTCTTAGGAAAAAAAAGTTGTCTGTAAGAAGAAAAGAGATTCTGTGGGGATGTCTGAATATATATAGTTTCCCTTTCTTCTTGACCAATCTTTTCCATTGCCAAAGTCTGGTTTGCAGTGGACCTCTGAGTCACCGCCACCAGGTAGCTTTTCTAACAAAGACAATGTGCTAATCTGAGAAAAGCTACACAAATTCATAGATAGGTTTTATTAGAATGCAATGATTTCTACTTCCAGTAGTCTGGTAGAATTGGCTGAAACAAGGACAACAAGGTGGTTTATTATATAAGTGAGGGAAAAGGAAGAGAAAACAGAAATACAACAGCAAATAGATTAGGTGATCTACATCTAAGAAATTGTAAAACCAATATTATACTTGTTCTACATCGCCATTACCATCAAAACCGACCATTTGTTGAGCTACAGTTGCGATGCTCAGACTTACTGATCTGTCAAACTTGTTCTATGTTCATACCAGAGATTGTCAAAGCTGGTGCACCTGCAGTTTACCTCGTGATGGGAGTCTGTCACTGGGACTCTGTGACTGATTCAGCCTTCGAACTGTCCATTTCCTACTCTCATTCCTCGCACCCACGACGTTTATAAGCAAAAGCCCACTGGTTGTTCAGTTGGAACCTGAAACCGTGAAATCACCTACTAAGCATTTGTGCACATCCTCCTCAAGTTTGAATTAGCAATCCCATTCCGACGTGTTACTGCTTAATGCATTTGGCCTGCATCCCTTCTTAACTTTCAGCTTACCCCAACAGTTAGACAAATCAGAACTCCCAGCGCCATGTTTGAGTTTTATGACCCTGTCCGAGTTGTCCTTTAACATATCTGAGTGGAACCTGCTCATCTGTCCTTCCTTAGCACTTAGCAGCAGCTTGCCGCCTGAAACATACAAAAAGAATCATAATCCATGTAGAACGCCCTGCATCCCTCACAGCAACAGGCAGGCAGAAATAGTATAAAGATGAGCAGAAAACAAAGGGAAGTTGTATTTTCAATATGCAGACTGCATAACTACTCCCAAGTAAATGAACAGCTAGTGGTCAGTACTAAGCAGGGCTACCTCATTGTTCATCCCGGCCATTTCCTTTCCAGCTATGCTTAAACACTTCAACCTCCAAATCTGTCATCTATGGACATGACTCACATGACAGCAATTAAAACAGTATCTCTCGGCTACCTTTTCAACAGCTTCTTTGCATTTCCTTTACTTAGAAGTTGAGAATTTAGTATTCGGCAAGATCGAGGAACACTCATCTATACTAAGTAGTACTGAGAAGGGTACAAGCAATTTTTCTGAAGAAGAAACTCTGAAACCAGCAATATCAGTAATGTACAACCGACATCTGTATTTCTACCTAATGTTTATATAAACACGTGTCGATTAAATTTAGGGGAAGGTGGTTGTTCTATACATCAAGCAACCACAGAAAGAAAAGATTTGGTGCTTAAGCATTACTTAACTGTCCAAGAGCAGATCTAGGCTTGCACATCACAGTAACAGATCAGTTTTTTTCACTCCAGAAGCCACATGACATTGGTTCTCCACTTCCCCTGTTTCCTTCCGTCCTTCAAATCTTCAAATCTAAGGCACATCTGGCTTCATGGATCTTATTATAGATGGAAACGTTAGGCTTTAATCCTTTACCAATCATACTGTTCAATAACACTTCTGCATGTTGGCATTTCCCATCCTTACACAAGACTGCAATGGTAGAGTTATAACTAGCCACATTTGGAACTAATCCTTTACCCTCCATTTCCTCAAGCAACCTCAAGGCCCTGTAGGAGCTACCTTCATTGCAGTATCCATTAATCATTGTGTTGTATATTACATCACTAGGCTCCAACGGTATTTCTCTCATGGATCTAAATACTTTTGCAGCATCTTTCATGTTCCCACTTTTGCAGAATCCATTTATCAACACTCCGTAAGTGTAGGCATCAGGAACCAAACCAGCATTCTTCAAAGAGGACAAAAGTTGAAATGCTTTCTCCATATCCCCAGACTTCACATAAGTATTAATTAAGATTGTATATGTCACCGCAGAAGGAGTGAAACCTCTGTCTTCCATCTCCCGGACCAAAGCAGTCACTCTCCCTAAATTACCAGCACTAGAATACCCCTGAATAAGAACATTGTAGGTAACCAACGATGGCGATAGCCCATTCAACTGCATTTCATCTAACCAACTCAAAGCCTTGTCAAACATTCTCGTGCTACAAAATCCACCTATGATATTGTTATATGTGATCAAGTTTGGAACAACACCTGCACCTTTCATTCGACTGACAAGCTTCTCTGCTTCCCAGATTCTCATATCTTACACATCCCACCAATAAGAATATTGTATGAAACCACGTTAGCCACAATGCCACCTTCACACATTTCTTCAAACATAGCAGAAGCTCTGTCCATTTTCCCTTCATTGCAGTACTCATTAATCAAGCAATTATAGGTATAGAGATTAGGAAGCACTCCACTCAGCTGCATCTTCTCGTACAACTTAAACCCATCTCTTCTGAGTCCTTTCTTAAAGAGTCCATTAATCAAAGCAGTGTAAGTATACTCATTAGCAGCCAAACCCAACTCCCACATTTTATTGAACAGCAATTTTGCCCTTTCAATATCACCCTTCTTACCACAGCCGTCAATTAAAGTAGTGTATATAACAACATTTGGAGATAGACCCATCTCCTCCAACTGGGCCATAACCTTAAAAGCTCTATCTAAATCACCAGACTCGCAACAACCTTTCACCATTATCCCAAAACTGTACACATCAGTTTCAACCCTCCCTTTCACTCCTTGGAAAAAATTCCAGGACCTTTCATAACAGCCTGCCTTAACAAGACAACCCAACAGGTTATTGAATGTCACGGCTCCAGGAGCAAGGCCTCTCTCAAGCATTTGATTGAAGTAGAACAGAGCATCATCTGTTAACTGGGAATGAACATGGGCATTGACAATGGACTCATATACAAGGGCACTAACTGATGAGGTTGAATTCAAGCTGGGTTGTGTTAAATACTGGAGGAGAGATGAAACAGAGAAGAAAGGTGAAGAGATTCGATTAGAAAGTACCCGCTGAAGAAGCGACTGCGCATCCGATACCATGCTGGAGTGAAGGAGATGTTGGAGGACTAAGGAAACGGAATGGCTACTGTGATGGACACCCTGAAGAACAGAGGAGTTGAAGACTGAAAGAGCCCAGGAAGGGGGGACTTTCACCATCTTTGGGACTACAAACAAAGCCTGACCGTGTGTCTCCAGCATCGCTCTGCTCATTTGCCTTTTCTTGGCGACTTAGCCGGAGAATGTCAAAATGAGTTAGGTCGTGCCGGCTGCCGGAGGTTGCTTCCCTGGGCGAAGGGAAGAGATGCGTTGAAACTCCTAGGTACAACCCTCAACCCATCAACCCATCGAGGGCCTTTTTGGGATTACCTTGTTTCAGTACCGGCTAGGTTACGGGCAAAGAGCCAAAGAGGCTTTTTGATGAGTCTCGGCCTGGAATTTTGGGCTCCTTCTCTCTTCCAATTGGCTGGTAGCCTGGTACTCAGCATGGCGTATTGAAAGTGAGAAACTTTTGAAGTGATGGGGAAATGGCCATTTGCCGGACTCTGCTCTCTTATTCCCAGCTCCATCGCGCCCCTTGGCATCAGATGCTCTCCATAGCACCCACTGTGTCCTTCTCCAACTACCCTCCCAAGTTGCACGAATTCACCAAATTGCCACCTTTCTATACCTCTTTGAAGCTCTCCTCCGTCCCATTAGAGCTCAGAACTTTATCAGCATCTTCGTCGTCCTCGTCATCCATGGAGTCTCCCCCTGAAGGTTACAGAAGAAACGTGGGTATCTGTCTCATCAACCCATCTAAGAAGGTACGGCCTACGGCGTTCTACCCGTAAGTTTCCCATCCAGAACTAGAGACCGCACTCGAATCGTTGTTTGGGCTGAAATTTGTAAATTGTGTAGATATTTGCTGCTTCAAGACTGGACGTACCGGATTCTTGGCAGATGCCACAGGTGAATTTCCGATCCCCCCTTACTTCGGTGGTTTAGGGGTTTTCCTTAGGCTGCTAATTTCTGTGTTCAACCTTAAGTGTTGTATAGCCTTCTGAATTAGTCTGGTTTTCGCTCGTTAAGTACCTTACACTGTGATGTTTGAGCTGATTGTAAGCCGCCATGAATTGAAGTGGTTAGGACTAGGCATTAGTTACTCCATTAGATAACCAGAGAAGACATCATACAAGTTGTGTATGAATGATTGATTTAGTATACTCCCTCCTTCTGGTACTTCTATCCAAAAAGTTGTGTCAATTTGAGATCTTTGAGGGTAACTTTAGAGAGGAGAGACCAGTATCAAGCAGCCACGTAGTTTGATGTGTTTCACCGGGAAATCTTAGAACAAGGATTGTGTTGTCGGTTTACTTCATCTTTAGCAATTACTGGTTTACCCAATCCAAACAAGGTATAAACTTCACACTCCCAAGGAGGATAAGCAACCAGGCATTTAGGTCTAATGAAGAAGCAGCTATCTCATTGAAGTTGAGGCTGAGGTAGTGATTCTTTCTGTAAGTTGTGCAATTTTTGGAAGTGGCATTGAACTAATGCCTATTCTATAGTATGGTTTAGTGAAATGTTAACTTTTGTTTGTTGTTAGATTAAGGATCATATAGCTGCTAGAAAGGCAATCACTTGTTAGAAAATTGGTGTTGAAGGTTTGGAGTTAGATGATTGGGAATCAGACAGGCTGCATCTATTGCTATTTGCTGGTGAAATTTTAATAGCCAGGGGATAATGCAGCGCAAATGCGGAGGGGAAATGTTAGATTTTTACTTGATATTTTTTTTATGAAGGAACATTTACTTGAGGCGTATACAGTATATGCCAGCATGTCATTTATTCCCAGTGACCATGGTCCCTGCATTGCCCTTTTATCTCATGTGCAGCTAACTTGTGGTAGAACTGTTGACTGTATATACTGCTCTTGCGTAGCTCTCATTGCTCCATTGATCTGTTCGAATTATTCTTAACAACTACTTGTGCAGGGTGGCATTGACGAGAACGAAGATCCAAAAGCTGCTGCTCTCAGAGAACTCAAAGAAGAGACTGGAGTCAGCTCCGCAGAGATTCTTGCTGAGGTTTTTCATTTAGACATAATTTTGCTTTCACTACTGTATGCCCCTGGTCAGAAAGCCTGATTCCAATGCAAAGGTTGATTCCAAATATATAACGATCAAAACAGTTTTAGCCAGCGAAGATGCACAAGTGAATTCTACCAATTAGATTTGGCAGAATCTAACAAGAGAATTAGAAGAGTTACAGTCTATCTGATTTCCCAGTTGCTCAGGCCTTGTTTTCTTTCTTCCCCCCCCCCCCCCCCCCCCCCCCCCCCCCCCCGATTAATGAGAAGATTGAGATTTGACGACCATGCCAAGATTGCAATATTTATACTTCTAATTCGTTGTATAATGAGTTCGTGTCTATACAAGGTTTAACAACAAGGTATCATGATCGCGTTGTTGTTGCAGGCACCACATTGGTTGACATATGACTTCCCACCACAAGTTAGGGAAAAGCTTAATCAACAATGGGGAACTGACTGGAAAGGTCAAGCACAAAAATGGTAAGCGCAGGGTTAATAAAACAGCTTGCATTGCTTGTTAATTGTGAGTCTCGACAACAACCTCGTTCCACAACGTCTTAACTACTCACTCGAAAATACACGCAGGTTTCTGCTCAAGTTCACTGGGAAGGAAGAGGAGGAGATCAATCTGCTGGGTGACGGCAGTGAGAAACCAGAGTTCGGGGAATGGTCATGGATGTCAGCTGAAGAAGTAATCGATCGTGTGAGTGATACGTAGTTCGCGAGTTGTGGAATCGAAACCAGGATTTTGATTCGGTGGTTCTCTTGTTTTATGATTCACAACTTCCCTGGCTGCTGCTGATGTTCGTGTCAAAAAAATGCAGGCAGTAGATTTCAAGAAGCCTGTCTACAAGGAAGTGTTCGGAGCCTTCCACCCTCATCTTCAGTAAATACAAGAAGAGGAGCTTTTGGCTTGGCAACTATGTTCGAGATTCATCAGAAAACTTGCATACATTTCCTTGTAATGATTTGCACCTCCATTCTCCCGGAGATGGATCATTACGATAAAAAAATTGGTGTATGCATCGTGCCTTGAAATCGGTCGACATGTTCAAATAAATTACTGATTGTTTGACGCTTTGATTGAACACTATATGTCATATTATGTAGCTATAAATTTTTATTGATATTTATACTCTGATTAGGTCGACCTATGAAAGAGTTTGATCGACAGTTATAAATATAAACTACACAAAGTATATATATATATATATATATAATATATTTACTATTGATCAATCAACCCGATCCAAAAACCGATCAACTATATTTATTCGCCAAACTTCAATTCCCCAATCCCCCTAACTTGAAGTTTTAACAAAGTCACCATAGAGCCTAATCGTTAGTTTAGTGAACGATGAGTAACATTATTAGCTGTATATACTTCCCCAACTTCCTTTGGAAAAGAATATACTACAAAACTAGGAGTAGTGACCATTTTGTTACAGATCCACAAATATTAGTGACCATTTTTCTTTCTCTGTGACGTTTAGTGACAGTTTCGTTACATTTAACTTAGTTTGATGATTATTTAAGTAATTGCCACTGTAATATAGTATATGTCCTTCGCAAAATAAAAGATTTTTTAGCAAAGAAGAAAAGAAAAGAGGGGGGAAAAAATTTCTAACGAATTGAGTGTGAACTAGGAAACGTTGTTGAAAGTGGAAACTAGGAATACTAGCAAGGAACGGAAGACAAGGAAAATGCCAACCAAAAGCAGCCCAAGCCGGAAATGCAAATTAAAAAACATCAGTCAAAGCCGCCAATCCCAAACACAAACGAAACCCGACGAGAAACAGCACAGAAGGAGAGTTAATCACAATTTACAAACACAATCAGCGGTCCGAGGAAACCAAGCGGGGCTACAAAGGACAAGACAAATGATGGCAAGTATGTTTTTGTAAAAGAACTAAAAAAATATAAGATAATGTGATATACATTGTTAATGGTTTGATCACGTACCACATGTTTTACAAATGGGTAAATTAAGATTAAAAACAAGATTTGTCAATCATCAAAGCTACTAATATCATGACAAGAATCAGTTGATCTCAATAACTCAAGTTATATCATAATGTTCAATTGTGTATCGTACTAGTAGCAATTCGAATCGAGTGGGCATGAGATAATATCAGCTGATTTATTACCAAACCAACCCTTAAGCGTTTGTTTAATTGTCTGATAACGAATTCCCTTTTGTTTTCAGCTTGGTTTGATGGTGTCATTAGAGAGAATTATAAGAAAAAGTGCTGGGTTGTTTTTTCGTTATAACCAATCGACAAAAAGGTCATTGCTTGCTGCTAAGGGTTAGAAAGCAGAAACGAAAGATGTTGTCCCCAGGAAAACAACAACAATCGAGGGGCATAAAATTATTAATTAGTGTAAGTATATAATACAAGACTAGTTATAAGAGCACTGCTCTTATAGCTAGGCTAAAGAACTAATTAATGAGTGGTTTGCATGAGTCCTTTGGTACTAAACAACTTATAATTGAGTTATTTGATATGAAATTATTTATTTTTAAAAAAGGGTTATTTATATAATGATCGACTAACCAAGTTATTTATAAATGACTAATTTTTTTTACTACTCTTCAATCTTAATCCCTGTTTTATACTCAACATTGACTCTTCAAGTATTATAAATATTACGAAACAATACTTTCGAATTATTTTCCATTAATATTTTTAAAATTATTTATAGTAAATTGGCCTTTTTGGAGATTTGTTTCACTAGCTACATGTGTATTTTTTTTTATTTAGTGTGCGATTTATAGATCGGAATAGTAATAGGGTAGCCCACTTGATGGCTAGAAAAGTCATCTCTTTGTACCCGACTATGAGTCTCGTTTCTTTGATTTTCAGGCATGGCTGATCTCCAGGATGTGACTGCCTATTTTTTGAATCAATACATGATTATTTTTTGTAAAAAAAAAAATGATTTGTTTCAATCATATGTTATTTTTTCAAACAAGGCATTAGGGTCCTAAATTTCTATTCCTTCGCCCATCAAATGGATCGTCTTCGTCTATATCAAACAAGGTAATTAGGCAGCGACCAAACCCATTCAACCAAAGCAGAAAGAACAATAAATAAACTGCCTTCGAATCATCAATCACTCTGCAACCCGACACCAAGCT